AACTATTTCTAGAGAGTGCATAATCCTTTATTACTTTTCCAGGTTTTTCTTAGTATCTCTTATCAATGAGTCTAACCCAAAATAATAAGAAGTTAAAGAAGGTTTGTGTTTTAGTGATCTGAAAATAAAACCATGGGCTGAAGACACCAGGTCTCTTTTTTTTCTCATTATGTGTAGGAAAAAATAAAAAAAAAAAGTCAAAGACCATACAGAAGAAAACATTTGACTCTGTAATGGTGAGATGCGGTTTCAAATGAATACTCATTGTGTTCTGTGTAATTTAAATGAAATAGTTATATAATATATAATAACTAGTTGATCAAGGGGCTTCAGAAAGATTATAATAGCATGGGAGCTTAATGGGTCTCTATGTCTGTAACTAGCCTTTCCAACTTCTTCATTTATTCAACAGATACTTGTAAAGCAGCTAATTTTGTGACAAAATTATGTGGGTCAGGATAAGACATGATATGCAGCAATAATGAAACACCTCCATCTCATCCCTAATCTTAGTTATTTAAATACAGCACAAGTCTCTTACCTTAGTTTAATGCATCTCATCATTTTGCAGTGTAGACTGCTTCACTCTTAATCAAAGCATCTTAATCCAGAATTGCTGTAAGTCTCATCACAGCAGAGAAAGCTGTGCTGATGCTTTAGATGTGTTTATCTGCAAGTGATACCTGTCAATCAGCTTGCAGTTCACTGATCAGTGTTAGTCCTAAGGCCTCATCCTACTGTAAGAGGGTATCTATGGAGCTTTCTGTGTTGTGTGCCCAGTTAAAAGAACTGATTATTGTTGAACACAAGTACTGTCTACCAATACTCACATTAGCACTAGGTACTTAGTTGTAAACAAACCAGGCACCATTTGCCTTTCCCCCATGAAACAATCTAGTTGCATGTTCTTGAAAACACTTAATATCTATGAAGCACCAGATTTCAACCAAAGCCAAGTAAGAAACTAGATCAAAGAACTTGCATTCAATATATATTAAGTAATGTGGGAAAATAGGAAAGGGTAACAGTTTAGTATAAGTGACAAGTATGGAGAATTTAAGATTTCTCAATAAATATTTACTGAATGAATGTTAAGTGAGAAATAAGAAATTTAGCTCTCAGAAATGAAACAGGAAAGGCAACAGAAAAGAGACAGATATAGGAAGAAAAAACACATGGAAACAGTTTATGCTTTTCAAATGTTCTGAATAATATTTGGGAATGAAAGCTGTTCTTGCTGTATCTACTGCTTCCAGTAAGCCTGAAATATTTCTGTGCTGGTCTCTTCTGCCATAGTGGGGGTTCAGAAGAATGGCTTCCCAGCCAGACTATTTCATTCTTACCTAGTCAGAGCAGGAAAATTGTTACATAACTTGGGCCTGACTGTCTACCATATTGTTTTGTGATAAAACCAGTTTGCTTGATTGGCAGTTGTCAAACATAGAGGAGTTACAAGAAAGTACACTGCTATGAAGATTTAAAATGTGATTTAGTGAAGCAAATAGCTGTTCCTTTTTGAAATATTAGAAGTGGTTACCTAAAATAATTAAAAATATTTACATAAAAATGTTCAGTGAAGAAAAGAGAAAACAAATGAGTGGAGGAAACATTTATAATGACACTAGGCATAAATCCTTTTAACATTTTGGTATACTTTACCTCAAATGTTTTTCTAGACACACATATCCATTTGTTTTATGAAAGAAGGCTATATAATACACACTACTCTGTCATCTCTATTTTACTTGAAAGTATTTCATGAATATTTTTCCATGTCAAGAAGTATATTTCTGGAACATTAGGTTTAATGAATACATGCTGTTGTTTCACATGTGTGTCAAAACGTACTCATTTACCCCATTAGATTGTTTACAGGTACTTGCCATTATAAACAAAACTGTTATGGACATACTCCAGCTGAATCTTAGTATACATCTTTATTTTATAGATTAACTTTTCTAAGTTGAAATTATTGTAGCAGAAGTTATACACACTTTAAAGTTTATCATATATATTATCAAATTGCCCTCTAAAAAGTTATTTCAACTTGCAATTCTACCAACAATGTATGAGAACAAAAGTATTTGAGGTGAATAAATCCACTAGGGTGGTTCTGAAATTTGTGTGTGATATTAAATGTATGTTAAACCTGGACAAGTATTAGCAGAATGAGACACTCTGGATATTATCTTTTAAGCCTCTATCTTTTATTTAATGCTTAGTGCTAAAATCAGAAATATGAGAGTGTCACGTTAGATTTCTCAGAACGGAATTTAAAACAGATCCACACATCCTGAGAATGGGTTCATTGATATAATGGGAGCTGGGGTAAGATCCATAGATGATCCCTTAAATATCTTGAATGAGTTCCTTGCTTAATAATTTGTTAAGGTGTGCCATTTAATATCATCCATGCCTAGTACATGCCTAATATTTATGCACATCATTAATGCTTGAACATTAGGCAATCTCCCATTTCTCTAAAAAGAAAACAAAAAATTTCAGCTATATCAATGATTTTAAACTGTGAATGACAGAATAACTGTGTATATTTATATTATGTAATTACTTATTTAGACATAAATAGTTCTTTACAGTGTATACTATGAGGAATATTTTTGGAATTATTGCTCTTTTCCCATCCTTACATTTCAGGAAGCACTTTTAATCCAGTTCCTTTCCCATGCATTCTTGACGTCAGAGCAGTGTCACCTTTTCAGACCGCTGGCCTGCTCCTTCCACCGCTCATCTAGAATTCAGTCTACATAACTCAGAGTACAGAACTTTGTGAAACTGTGTTTGAGGCCATCACTGGAAATTTTTTTCCAAGCTGTAAAAACTGATTCGCTAGTCATTCTCCCTAGTAGCCACTTACTCTGCTACTTGTTTTCAACAAAATCCAACATTTACAATTATTAAGTTGAATCTCTGAAATGATTGTCTCAATAGTAAATTCCTTTGCCTCCATTTTTACCAGTCCCATCAAGTAAAGGACTATTAATAGCATCAAAATTCTTATCAGTTGATGACTGTTGAGGCTAATGCACCTTCAGAGTACTATACTTTGTTCAATATAAATTAATATACAGCGCCTTATACTTTGAATCTTTGTAAACACTTTAGTATAAATGCCTCTTGTTCAAAGGAATAATTTTGGGAAAGAAAAATCTCACTTTCAATGTCCTACCATATTTAAACAAAAAGGAATTCACGTAAATCTCTTGTATGTTCTTATTCAAAGTTATTATTGAATATGAAAGCTCTTGTCCACCTATAAGAAATATTTAAAGAAGACAGAATTTTAATACATTTATCTTGTTTAGGGCCATAGAAAATAGAGGATCACAAAAATTTCTTTTTTAAAATTACTTACATTAGACTCCTTTAAGAACTGTTGTCTCTACCCAATTAAAATCCTCTCAACCCCAAATTGCACCTTCTTTTGAGAGAGAGACAGAGACAGAGAATAGTTAGAATAGTCTTTTGGTAATCCATAGCCAAAACTTTCAGAATGCAAAATGGAAACTTAAAAGGTTTCAGTGACTAGATTTCCCTATGTGTTACTCCCTTTTTTTTACATATATTATTTCCATTTTTTTATCTAAGAGAATCAGACAAAAGAAGAACATTTTAAAAATAGAGTAACAGCTATTTGATTGATATAGTTGAATTTAGCACATTATATACACTTTCCTCTCAAACTGTTTGGAGTCTTTTTCTTGCCCACAGCAGTAGTACATAAATGAGAACTATCCAAAAATGTCCCAGTGGTAGATGTATGCAGTTCATATCATTTTAAAAAGCAATGAACACTTTGCCATTGTGTCTTTATGCTTTGAAGTAAATCAAAGAGAGAGACTTAGAGCTTAAAATAAGTGGCTAGAGATCTCTAGTTCTAAAAAATATTATAATTTCATAATATGATAAATGTCATTTAAAATGTTAATTAAAAGATGCATTTGTTTTAATTCATGATACTGAAAATATTGACTGAATTGTGAATTAACACATTTAGGGGTGCAGATGTCATTTTTCATGAGCTTTCCTGAATGATGTAATTTTCATATTTCTTATAGCAGTTTAATCAATTTACAGATTTATTTTACATAATTAGTTGGTAAACGAGAAATTTCATTGCTGGTATATAACTACTTTTATGTAATATAAAAAGGAAATTAAAATTCTGAATTATAAATAAAAAACAAATATTTTGAAGACATCTGGTCTACATCTGTCTGAAATAAGATAATTTAAAACAGTGCAATTAAATTCAAGAAATACTGAAATATTCACACCTTATAATGTAAAAAGCTCATTTTAGTGTTGTTTGTTGAATTTGAGAATTTTTTGAAATTGTAATGTCCTTTAACATCTCATTCTGTCATTAGAGAAAGACTGACACACTAAACAAAAGTAATCCATGTTTTTCAAACTCTACACTAAATGAAAGTAATCTTTATTACTGTTCTTTTATGTGTTGAGTAACCTCCACTTCTAAGTAAATGTTCAGCAGATATAGACTGTGACTATAATTCTGAGACTCATAATTTGCCACTCAGTTATTTAAAATGAGATACTAGTGAAGGGGTCTGTAATCTTACTCTAAATTGTGTTTACCTTCTGGGCACAAAGGTGCCCAGTAAATGCAGGAGAAAGAAATTCAGACCTGTGGAAATGAAAGGCATTTTAAATACATTCTCATGTACTTGAAGAGTACATGAGACTCATCCTTTGAAAATTGGTCTTTCCGTTAAAACAAAATGTGTTAAGTGAGAAATTTTGGGGAAAAGAAAGCACTATACAGTCAGATTTGATCAGAAAGAGAAATCTGTGAATGTTAAAACCATCAGTCCTGATGCTACAGGATAAGGTTTAGAAGTTTCTGCATGAATGCCAGAGGCTCCACTAACCACCAACAGCTCCTGAAAAGAACAAGCAGTGTTTTCTACCCCAAGATTGTATATCCTAATGTAAGTTATATTCTGTGTGTTTATTTCCAGGGAGCATGACAAAGATCCAGAGAGTTTTTTTAAGGTATTAATGCATCTAAAGAACTTAGGACTCGATTTCCACGTCTCTGTCCTTGGTGAAACTTTTACAGATGTTCCAGGTACCTCTTCTGAATTTTCTAATTGTATTTTTATAGATGACTTTAAGCAGTACAACTCAAGTATTAATTTCCATGTTTTTCTTTGTTAGAACAATCAAGATGAGCACTGTTAACCAAAAGATTATAGGATGGCATTAAAGTCAGATTCAATTAAAAAAATACTTAAGTAAGCATTCTTTGATCTAAGTTGAGAACGTGAAGTCATCTCTTTTATCAAATATAGTTTATACAATGCATCTTAATGTAAATAAAATATATTGCTGTAGGCATCTTAACACTTAACAAAGTGGGAATTTGTAATTGGATGCGCAACCTCTCACCTCTAGGGTCACTGATTTGAATCCTGCTCACTTGGATAATGACCGAAATACCATCTGTTAGGTGGCATGTGTAAAATATTTTGACTCTGACTTGTAATGTGGCATGGACAACAGTCCATGTCATTTATCTATGTGTTTTTCATTGAATTTAGGAAAGACAAAAATTGAAAGCTATTAGCATCAGGTCCCCTTGTTCTTACTGCCACACACAACCTTTTCACAGCTGCTTCTTTCACTCTGTAAACTCACTAGTCATGTGTGGGTCAGTAAAATGAGCATTCTAACACCTCGTTAAGCACTTGTGTTTTGTTTTCAAAACTTCATCATTGAGTATTGTTTGAAAACCAAATATAAAGGCAACGAAGTTCAGAATTGACCTTTGTTCAGAAATGATCTTTGCCATCATGCATTAGAACACCTAAGGACCACATAAAGTGTACTCTCACTTAATGAGTACATCTTGATTCTGGTTTAGTTCTGGGAATTTACACCTGACCTGACTCATTAGCCTCATCTTCTACAACCTGTGTTCTGTCTCTGTGTCTTATGAACACTGACATTTATTGGACTTCTTCTGTGGCATCAGGCTTCTTTAGATGCCATTTTACATTCATTTTTATTTTATCCTTTTGATTTCAACTCTAGGACCTTTTCTTTCAGCACTTCATATTTTTCTTCATGGTGTTTCCTCAGTTTCAAATTATTTTACGTATGTGTAAATGTTTTATCTCACCCTGTACACACATATACACACACACTAGATGAAAATTATACTGGCACCAGGGTATATCTGTACTGTTATCGTTATACCCCAAAACCAAGTACAGTGACTAGCACCACACTGCAGCTCAATGAATATTTACTAGATAAATAGGTAAAAATAATGTGAGCTACCTGCCCTCAAGGAATTTATAGCTTTGTTAAGAAGGAGACATTTGTACATAAGCACAGAAAACAGAATGAAATACAAGATAATCCAATAATATGTTAGTAATGACACATGGGACTAAGTGTTTTTTGAAGAACTAGTACATGAGTAGCGAAAGCTATCTGAGTAGCCAGGGTTAAAAAAGAGATTGATTAGGTTATCCCAAAATGGGAAACACCATGGGCAAAACACGTAGAAACAAACATTTTAGATGTTTAACTGAATGATTTCAATGATTAGTTCTGTGAAGTCATTAATCTAGGTAGAAGAGGAGATTCTACATGCAGACTTCATAGTAAGTTATTACCTACTTCTCACAGGCTGAGAAAGGTAAAAATAGGGAGGAATTTGATCACCAGGAAGATTATGTAAAGGAAAGGAATAGGGAGTCTACATTGAAATAGGAAATAAGATGCAGCATATATTTTATGAAACTGTATCTTGATATGATACTCAGGAAGAATCACAGTAAGACTATAGAATGGCATTACCAGTGTGATTCTGTGACATAGTGGCTGGAGAGGTTGTGGAAAGACTGTATGAGAGAAATTTTCAAGGAAAACACAGAGAAGAATTTGGTAGATTGATAGCTATAGAGAAAGAAGGAAAGAAAACAATCAGATTATTTGTGAAGGTGGTGCATCCACACCTCGGTTTGTTTGTTTTAGCTTACTTATATAGCATTTACTGTAATCTAGTCATTATTCTGAGCCGTTTGCAAATATGAACTCCTTAAAGCTTCATAATAATTCTATTCAGTGTTATCAGCTCCATTTTTTCCCAAGTGGGGAACCTCAGGCACAGAGAAATTAAGTAAGGTCACACAGTGACATAGTGTTTTAACCGCATGCTTAACTGCATTTTCATGTCCTTGTTTTCAGTTCCTACTGTTTATCTAACTTTAAGCACTTTTTTTCCTCAGTTCCACATCCAGCACTCATCTCTTATCTAGCCCTTCCACAAACGGGATTGCCTTGCAGACATGTGTTTCCATGCTTGTTCCTTCTTCTTGGTCCTGCATTAGCATATCTAAAACCTAGATAATAAGACCAGTTATATGTTAGATGATATTATATGGAATATGATATTGTACCAGAAGAATTAGTCTTAACACAGTTAACATTTTTTTAGGGTAGCAGTTTTCTTATAAATAATTATAATAATTATGTTAGTTTATAGCTATAATTTATTGAGGTTTTTTTTTTTTTACCTGATCCTTTGCCTAGTTATTTTACACAATGTTCATGATAATCCCAGTGAAGCAGATATTACTGTCTCTTTCTCTAGGCATAAAAACAGAATCTGAAAGCTTAAGTCGCTTTGATGAACTGCCTATCAGTGAGTCAAGCTTTTCTTTTTTACATACATGCTTAGGTAGAATGGAAAACCAAAAAAGGTGTAATGTATGACAACAGGATTATTAATTGGTCTTCCTACAATTTCATTCTTCATAGTTTTGGAGGATAATACCATTGTTGAGTGACGGCATTAGTACCAGCTAGTCTGGTACTAGCTCTTTCTGATAAAGCAAACCATCAGCATTAAATTTGTTTTTAAACAAATTAAACAAGCATTTTATATGTTTAAATGAATGATTTCAATGATTAATTCTGTGAAGTCATTAATCTAAGTAGAAGAGGAGATTCTACATGCAGACTTCATAGTAAGTTATTCCCTACTTTTCACAGGCTGGGAAAGGTAAAAATAGGGAGGAATTTGATCACCAAAAAATAAAGTTTAAACTATAAAACAGCAACTTTGTGGAGTCTCTATACTTTTGATTACTTTCAAGTAAAAGTTGTTATATGGCTTTTATAATTCTTTACATGAAAAGTAGAATTAACCACTGACCAGTCCAATTATTTAAATGCTGAATGACCAGAAATTGCTTATTTTTTCACTAGTTTATTAAATATAATATAACCAAAATATAAAAATGACAATTTTATCAAATTTATTTAAGAATTGACTGGTTGAAATAACATCTGCCCAAGCAAGATGATAGCGCATGAACAAACGGGCTACCTTAGTAAGCTCAGGATAAATCGTTAAGTGTCTAAGACAGTCAGTAATAATTTGTAATCTTGCAGTTTATAGGTCTTTTATATCACTCCTTCATTATACAAAAGAGGAGAGAGATCAGTGAGAGTTAGTGATTTTCCAAAGACTTCACAGTTGGGTGTAGTGTGGGCAATACAGGCAGTGGATAGCCACAAGTTTAAAGGTAGAACTTGTGGGTCAAGCTCCTGATCCCTAGATATTTGGGATGAAACAGTGAATAAAACACTTTTTGTGTGAAATTTGGAACTGTAGTCCAGTGCTGCTTCAGTTTTTTTATTACCTACTAGAATACTCCTTAACAATGTTAGAACTGTCATTTCTTGAGCTCTTAGCATGTCCCAGGCACTGTTCTAAGCCAGTTTGGTGTGCTTGCTTCCGCAGCGCGTATACTAAACCCTTTAGGCATTGCCTTTGTATACTTCACATCAGCCTGTAAGTTAAAATTATCATTCTACATCTGAGTAAAGTAAGACTTGGAGAGCTTAAAGCATTTGCCTGAAACCACCCAGCTAGTCACTTAGGAAACTGTTACTCAGCCTGTGCTCTACCTGGATAGCCACAAAATTGTGGATAACAAATATGTGTTATAGGTAAGAAGTCAGGCAGTGGTAGTAGAGAATTCCAGAACATCATATGAATAATTTCAGGGGTTTTTCTCATAATCTTTACAAACAGAAAATTAGAAATTAAAAAAAAAAAATGACTTCAGAGTTACTTCCTAAATATCACCCCAGCCACATAGATTTTAAAATGGATCCCTTCTTTATTTGGTCTGTCTCCATCACAACAAAGGTGTCAAAATCAATATGAAGTGGAAAAAAATCCAGATAACATTTGTCATATATTTAGTGTTCAGTAAATATTTTAATGAACAAATGAATGAGTTTAGCAAATAAAACATTTAAATTTATATACCATATCAGACGTAGAAATGTGGATTGAAGCCATTTCCAATATTAACAGTGATTGGGTAAATATAGAAATATTTTCATGTTTCAAAGCCCTAAGGTAAGCAAGTTCTAGATGCTTGTATTTATATTCATCTTTTTTAACATTAGTGCCTTAATTGTATGTAATATTTTTTCTATATTTTTCTCATTTGTCAGTTCTTAAATCAGTCAAAATAAGCTAGATTATGCTGAGGTAAAAGAAAACTTGAAATCTCAGTATTTTGAAACACATAAGATATATTTCTGGTATGCATCGTAAGTTCCTAACAAATGACCATGAATGCATTCTGTTCGCTGAGCTCACTCAAGCCCCCAAGAGATCACCATCTCAAACATTGCTAATTATCAGAAAGAACAGAAAACTCAGGAAATCCTCCCATCATTGATTAAGGGCTCCTACTTAGAAATAGAGCATGAGGTTCCACTCAACTCATTGAACAGAACATTTGCCAGTCCCTTGCCAGTAATAAGGAGGGTCAAGAAATGCAGTTCTGCTCTATGCCAAGAAAGGAGGAAAACAGAAATATGTGGTGACTTGTGGAATTGACCACTGTACCTCCTTCATATCATAGTCTGTGGCTCCTCAGATAGAAAATTAAGCCTATGCAAGATCTCTACCTTCATATGGGTTAGGCCATCCAGCTTTGTAAAGTGCTTTACAAGTATTACCTTCGTCTTCAGGCTGGGAGCAGCTCAGCTGGGATCTGAAGACACATGTAGCAGCTGTGTTGCATAAAGCAG